AAAAAAAAAAAAAAAAAAAAAAAAAAAAAAAAAAAAAAAAAAAAAAAAAAAACTTCTTTCGGCTGAAAATGGACCCATCTCTTTAGAAGACGGACCCAAGATTACTTGAAGCGAAATTCTGGGTTTCATTGGCAACATTGCTCCCACGACTTTACTCTCATCTCTCTCTTTTTTCTTTATTGTTCTGTTCACCTTCCCCCACTCACTCACCTTTTCCTAAATTCCAGGAATTAAACTCTCCCCACATTCAAACATCTCACTAGTATTATTTATGAGCATCAATATAAGAAATGTTTTATAGTTAAATTACCATTTTAGCCCTCATCATATATTTTTTTACCATTTCAATTAATAAATTTATTATACAACAATTTAAATTTTATATTCAATTTTATTTTTAATAAATTTGTGAATTCAGAACAAGAATATATAAGAAAATCTAGATATTAATTTGTAGTTTTGAAGGTTTTTGGACGAAATAAATAAATTTGTAATTTAAGCTTTGAGAATTTCTATTTTAGAACAGTATCATCTAGATGGTAATTTTAGGGGAAAAGTAAACAAGAACGAACTGTACGGATTTTTCTCAGTCATTTTAAATTTTGAATTCTGGTAGTTTACGGAGTGAATTTCAAATTTAGAGAGGGAAAAAAAGAAAGAAAGAAGAACAGAATGTGGTGTGGCTGTGAAGAGAAATTTAAGAGGTAGGTGAAGTGGTGAGGCTGTGAAGAGAAATTTAAGAGGTAGGTGAAGTGGTGGTGGAAAAAGAAAGAAGATGAACAAATTGGAAGAAATGAAACCTTGAACGAAGAGTCATCTAAATAACTAATTTGAAAAAGAAAAAAGAAAATCGAAAGAACTGTTCATCGATTTGAGAAAAACAGAAATCACTGCAACGAATTTTAAATTCATACCAGCTTCTTCGGCCTTGCGTTGAGCCAATTCATGATCATTGATAACCTCCTCAGAAATCACAGAAGTAGAAGAAACCTGAGCATTACAATTCGTAACCAGAGCCTTCAATCCTCTCGGAATATTCTTGTTCGGAGACGTTAAAATCGAATTCCTGAAGCTTAATTCCTGCGGCATTTTCGATGAATCACACTCGATTCTCCCTCTAACAAATCTCGTGTTCCTCTTTTTCAACACGCAGATTTACAGATGATCAAAATCCTTCTCACAACCTAAAAACAATCAAGAAATCAAACAATGTCGATTCTACAAAACAGAAAAGGAAGAAATATGTAACAAATCCAGTGATCAAAGTGTTTACCGGCAAAGAAACTTCAACTTCAAATTAATTAGTAGCAGAGAGTTGAACGAGCCTTCTCGTGATCGTCGTTGAAACGATGAGAATTTCAAAAAAAATGTGAAAATCCAGAAGCGGTTTATTAAGTGCTGCTTCGACGTGGGGAAGGTTTTAGAGAGAGAGAGAGAGAAGAATCTAAAGAAAGCTTAAATTGTAACGTTATGGAGTGTTTATGGCCTCCATGAATCCCTTACTGAAATGACCAAAATCTCCCCCATATTATTTTCAATATAAAATATTACCCATTTTATTTCTTATATATATTTCTGGTTTTATTTATATATTGATTTTATGTTAAATATTGCTAATTTTTTATTTTAATTTCCATAAGCCTTAATTCATATTATTCAAAATCCAAAGCTTTATGAGCTTTTAATTTATATGATAAATTTGACATTAACTAATTAATTTATGTTCGGATTAGTTGAACTAAGGAAACGTTAATGTCATGTTACACATTTGTTAGAGAGGAGAATGAAACATCCTTAAACGCGTTTTAAAAACCTTGAGGGAAAGTCCGAAAGGAAAAGCCAAAAGAGTCTACTAGTTGTGGATCTAGGCTGTTACAAATAGTATTGGAGTCAGACACAGGGTGATGTGCCACCAAAGAGACTGAGCCCCGAAGAAGGGTAGACACGAGGCGATGTATCACTAAGAACGATGGGTCCCGAAGGGGGTGGATTGTGAGATCTCACATTGGCTGGGGAAGAGAACGAAACACCATTTGTAAGGGTGTAGAAATCTTTCCCTAACATACGTGTTTTAAAAATCTTGAGGGGAAGTTCGAAAGGGAAAGCCCAAAGAAGATAATATCTGCTAACGATGGGTTTGGACTGTTACAACTAGTATTAGAGCCAGACACGGGGTGATATGCCAGCGAGGAGACTGAGCCACGAAGAAGTGTAGGCACAAGGTAATGTACCACTAAGTACGTTGGGTCCCGAAGGGGGTGGATTTGGTGGGGGTTCCACATGATTGGAGAAATGAACAAGTGTCAACAAGGAGACATTGGGTCTCGTAGGGGGTGGATTGTGAGATCCTACATTGGTTGAGGAGAACAAAACACTCTTTATAAAGGTGTAGAAATCATTCTCTAGTAGACGCGTTTTAAAAACCTTGACGGGAACCCCGAAAAGAAAAATTCAAAGAGAACAATATCTACTAGCGGTGGGTCTAGGTTGCTACCGTTAACAAATATAATATATATATATATATATATATATATATATATATATATATATATATATATATATTTGAGGCATGAGGTACGAGTTCCAATATTATTTTTATCCGGGACAAATAAAACAAATGCAATAAATAAACAAAAAAACAATATTCAAATTTAAAATTTGAAAAATGGAAAAGATTCTAAGACAACGGCCGTTTCTTAACGGCGGGAAGAAGGGTTTAAAGGCGGACGTCAATAAACGAAGCACCGTCAGAAGCCCCATACGGCATTAATAATTTAATATTAAATAAGTCAAAGGCTTTGAGTTTTATAGAAGAATTTTGACTTATTAAATACATTATCTGAAACAAATGTAATAATGACACGTGTACATCGTCCTTCACGTCGGACCTCTTAAAGTAGTTAGGTTTTGTTACAGTACATTACTCACACCGTTGTACGCATGGTCCTTCCAAAATCAACGGACGGCGTTGCGACTTAACCCTGACCCCACTTCTCTCTAATATTAGAATAAAATAAAATAATCCTAACCCTACACCAAATAAGAGAATATATGTTAATGGTGGGCTTGAGCTATTATAAATGATATCATAGCCAAACAACGGGCAGTGTGCCAATGAGGGTGCTCGGGGCCCAAAGAGGGTGGATCGTGAGATCCTATATCTATTATAGAGAGAACGACTTTGTAACATTCCAAACCCACCTCGAGTAGATATTGTCTATTTTAGGCTGTTACGTATCGCCGTCAACCTCACGATTTTAAAACGTGTCTGCTCAGGAGAAGTCTTCACCCTCTTATAGGGAATGTTTTGTTCCTCTCTCCAACCGATGTGAGATTGCACAATAAATAAGGGTGTAGAAAAACCTTGAGGGGAAACCCGAAAATAAAAGTTTAAAGAAAACAATATCGGCTAGCTAATCATATTTTAGTTTAAACCCACAAAAACTTTCTTCGAGTTCGACTAAAAAACTTCAAACCAATAAAAACACGATCATTTCTCGTGTACTCCAATTCAATCCATATCATCAACCATTTATAGCTCTAACGAATCTTTCTAAAGGGTCGAGGGTTTAATTTGCAACCAATTCTCACGTTCTCTTCTATGAGTACAATTCGTATTTCTATAACAGTATGGTATATTATCGACTTCCAAAGCTTATACCCGAGCAATTTTCTTTAGTTTCAGCTAAAAGACTTCAAACTACTAAAAACGCTATCGTTTCTTGCATACCCGAACCATGGTACGACACTTGCATCTCTAATTCAATCAATTATTCCTTTAATCTTACACCTTAATAAAATCATTCGGGTATTCGAGCCGAGCGGGAAAAGTGAAAAGAGTAAAAGGAATTATGAACGTTGGATCCTCCTAACTAAAATGATTATGGAGGCAAACTCTTTTGGCCATGCGACCTTTTTTACCCTATGTGACCCATTTATTCGACCACATTTTCTCTACCAAAATCATCATCATCATCATCATCATTATTATTATTATTATTATTATTATTATTATTATTATTATTATTATTATTATTATTATTATTATTATTATTATTATTATTATTATTATTATTATTATTATTAACTTTCTTTCCTCGGTCAAAAGGGCAAACAGGCGTTTCCAATTTTACCCTCATAAAAAATATTTCGTGCTTTACTTCAACCAACGTGAGATCTCACATTTTTACATTTTTGTCATGTAAAATTCCGATTTTACCCTTATTGTTTCGAGATCAGGCAGAATCTAAAATCAAATTATTATTTTGTAGGGGCATTCACATGACCTGATAACTCAATCTATCGGGACTACCCAACTCAAACCATAAACGTTGAGTTGGGTTAATTTTTTTTCGATTTGGGTTGGGTTAAATTTTTGAAAAACAGAAAATTTTGGTTTAGTTTGCTAGTTAACATTTTTTTTTGTCAGATTAACCCGACCAACCTGAAAATAGGGTCATAACTCAACCCAATCCTACCTTACTTATTAAAAATATTAAATGTTTGTAACTAATATTAGCGGTGCGTTGTGACTTGTAAATGTTTGTAACCATCTAACAACCCAACCTATTAGGAACTCTCTCCAGGTTGTCCGGGTCACCAACTATAATACAAACCCATTAGGATAATTGGGCCCTAAGGGTAAATTAGTCAAGCCCAACTATAATACAATTGGGCTAAAGAAACAACTGGGCCTAAACTCACGTCCACGTCGAAAGGATGAGCCCAAAATCCAAGCCCACGTCGAAAGTAATTTAGTTTTAAGTAATTAGAT